CCGTTCATTTTTATGTTGTAGTTCAGCCTCTGACCACTAATTGGCAGCAGTGAGCCAGCCATTTGGCTCCTCTACCTCTTGAGGGCCAGAGAGTAAGGGTAGCATTAGCATTGTAGGAGACAATGTAAGCACTGTACGTAAACATTAGCTTTTCTTTTCCTTCAGTTAGAGGTTTTTATTTAATAGAATTTTTGGACAAAAAATCGCAATATATCGCAATATATTGCCTTGCTCACAGTATCGCAATATATCGGGATATATCGTATCATGACCCCTCTGTTATGATATGTATCGTATCGCCAAATTCTTGCCAATACACAGCCCTAATCAGCATAACATCTTCATATTAACTAACCGCGTTAAATCTAACTGTGCACGTCACTGAAGAGGTGTTTACTACATTCAGCGACGGCGAAAACGGGATGTTTTTTTAAACGTCAGTCAATACAAGCAGCGGAATCGCCAACCGCGGCTGCAACTAGCTGCTCCAAACATTAGCATGCTAACGCACATAGCGGTGCAGCAAGGAAAAATGTCCCCCGGGAAACAAAAGTTCACTGGCGGCCGCGACGAAACATTCCGCTATTTAAACGGGAATGTCTGGTATTCAAAAAATTCTTATCATAACAAAAATAAAAACCGGTATTTGGTGCAAAATGGTATACCACCCAGCACTACTCAAAGTAATGTTATTTTACTTCCGTCAAATATTATTTATTTAAAATGAATTTTGTTAATAAAGGTATGTGTTTAAAATAAGACATATTAGAAATAAAACAAAACAAGTAAGACATATGAAATTTTTAGCTGCATTTTAAACAAAAAGTTAGATATAGTACATTTTTAATTTTCACTTATAATAAGGCTATTACTGCTAATATATCATTTAATCTATTTTTTGTTCAGAGTTATTATGCTGTCAGAACCTAGATTTTTACATTGTATAAAATACTAAGTGGATATTTGGTTGTTTAATGAATCCACTAGACTAACCAGGTCTTAATCTTTAATCTCCCTCTCAGATTGCCAGATTATGGTACATAAAGGACAATTTGTACGCACAGAAAGTATTTAAACCCAATAAAAACAGTTCAGTTATGGTACATTTTGGTGGTTCCCCTCCTGTCTGCCTGCCAGGGGGTTATGGGATAAGGAGCACACTGGTGATGCAATGATGCTGAAGCCACTGCCAGTAACTGCTGAAACTACTCATTTATCCATTTTAGCTGCATAAATGTAGCTTCATGGTTTATATGGGTTTTATTAAACAGCCTCCAAAAACATGCAAATACTTAGCTAAACCTCACAACAGCAAATGTAAAATAATAACTCCCTGTTTTCCAAACCAGCCTGAAATAAAAAGACACATATTATAATAAAAAACAACAATCTCATAAGGAAGCATGATTATTTTCATGACCTTTGCTCTAACCAGGATTATCTTACATCTCTCTGCTGGTGCTGCCCCCTGCGAACACACATGTCCGGACATTAATAAACACCTCACACACCTCCTGATGTGAGGTCAGAGGGTAAAGGTGACAGCCGAGAGTCCTGGCTTCAACATCTACTCTTACCACACACACACACACACACACACACACACTGGTCAGACTTGGACAGACTGTCTGTCAGTCAGACTATTTGTCTTTCTGGAAAGAAGTGTGTCTGCCTCACTCACTGTATCTGCAAACAGAATGTATGACTTCTCTAAAACACACACACACACACACACACACACACACACACACACACACACACACACACACACACACACA